TACTGTTACCAAATCTAAATCTGATTATTGAATAGTAATTATCTTAAGATTTCAGGCACAAATCCTAAAACGCGCATTCACCTATCAGGCTGCTTGATATTTTAAATATACAACAGGCACGTTGCCGGCCGGGCGAGAGCACAGCGACACGATATGAACACAAATCCTAAACTGGCGCTTCACACCTATGGTGCATATACTGACCGTAGGGTAAAGCACAGCGAAGCTGCGTGCGTCATGTTACACGCACATGGCTTACGCCCACAACGACCACGCCGACAAAAGATTCGCGCTCAGCGTTCGCGGCACTACTTCGTCCTAGACCGGCCGGGCGGCATTGCGGTATCGTTTTAACGCCGACTTGACTCATACAGGTGCGATTGATCATTAGAAACAGGTATACTTTGTGATTTTGTACTGCAAAACTCCATATTTTGCCAGTCAGCCGGTGGGGCCTCATGCAGCTGGGGTTTTTTGAGCTGTAGGTCGCGCAGCAGGCGTTGCGAGCTCGGATCACGCTATATTTATAATATACTAACCTTCGTGGCTCGTAAGCAACAACTATCTTCCTGACTTTAAGGGTTTTAATTTTCGGTACACACAACCACACAAAAAAAAAACGTTTTTGCTAATTTTGCTCCGATACAACTCATTTCCCATCAGCGGCCAAGATATAGTCAAACTTACAAAAACGTTACATTAACTCTCGTGAGCCCGAGCTAAAAGCTGAATCTTTTTGGCATAGCATTCGACACAATCTGCTAATGCCCTTCATACGCTTTAGAAGCCGCAATGAAACTGCCAACAAGGATTAACATTGCGAATCACTACTCAGTCGGTACGAACTTACTCCCAGATTCATCGTCCTCCCATTGACGTATGGCTCTGCGCGCTGGCCGAATTGACGCTCTTGCATTCTCATCTCCCAACAACCCTGACGTCGCTGTGCTTTGCCTAGGCTAATATCAGCACCATAGGTCAAGCCGTTTAGATTTGTGTCCATGTTGCGTCGCTGTGGCATAGTACTTGCGAGTCGACTAACCGTGGGTCGCTGTGTTTCTCGCCCGGCAGGCTACACGCCCATCGACCCGGCGATCGTCGTCGAGCGCAAGCAAGCGGTCGAGGTCGCGTACGATGAGCTGCTGCGGCTCGCAGCCGACCGACACGCCAAGCTGCTCGAGTCGCGCCGCCTCTGGCAGTTCTTCTGGGAGATGGCCGAGGAGGAGGCGTGGATCAAGGAGATGGAGCACATGCTGTCGTCGCCTGACCTCGGTCACGACCTCACCAGCGTCGAGCTGCTGCTTAACCAGCACAAGGTACGAGTACAGAGTAATAAGAGTGATTGTACGGTAGGTGAAACAAGGGGGTGGGGCGTGGGTAGATGCTAATTTGAAAAACAATTTAAAAAATGCCAAGGTTAATATGGTTGAATTGGTGTATGGGGGGGGGAGGTATCTGAAGTTAATCAGCATAAAAAATTTAGTCGTTACCTTCACGGTAAGCAATAAAATGAAACAAGAAGGGATCGGGCCGTGGGTAGATGCTAGGGAGCTGGTATGTGTACAGTAGGTTACTATGGTTGAATTAGTGTGTGGGGGGGGGGGTATTATAAGTTATAACAGCATACAAAATTTGTCACTATCTTCACGGAAAGTGTATAGCCATCTACTGTTTTACGAATGTGCATTATGCAAACAATTCAAATGTTTAATCATGCCAAATGCTTTGATAAATGGTATATCCTGGGAAATTTGTTATCTCTGTATTGCTTTTTAATATTAAGCTTGAACTGGTTGTAACACTTAATAATTATACAACCTGGTGAACATGCTGTGAGAAGCATCACTCGTGGGTCGGTCACCCGGAACGTCAACAACCTGTAGAGAACAGTAATGAAGCTCTGAGTAAGCCCCTACCAGGTGGCACTGTATCAGCACATCAATTCACTGCTTATATCGCCGGCCGGCCGGCAACGTGCCTGTTGTATATTTAAAATATAACACCATAGGTGAAGCCGTTTAGATTTGTGCCTGAAATCTAAGATAATATATCAATAATAATTTAGATTTGTGTACATATTAGGGTTTATCAATTCAGGTCAATTCATTGGTATGCATCACACCTACGCGCGAGGCATATTAAACGCTTGGAGTTGCCTATTGACTATATGAAACCAGACTTGGTTACTTGAAATTGAAGATTAGTGGTTGTAGATGTTAATGATTGCCGTGATTATTCTTAACTGTTGGCTGTGGCATGAGACAGTTAATGTAGATAAGTGTACTAACCTCATATAGGTTATATTACTATACTCATATCCGAATAGATATTAGGATAAGAATAGTCTGATTACCTAATATCCTTCACCTATTCTCCCATTAAGAAAAAGGCTTGCTTAGAAAATAAAATTGCAATGCATTTCCATGCTAATGTATACCGCCTGACAACAAGAACTGAAATTTACCTCCAGTGGACCTTTTGTCATTTTTAATCAATTTTTAAAGTTTTTTTTTTTAAATTTCACTTTTGTTTGTTTTGAACAGAGTCGTTTGCTGTCTGAAGATTACGGAAAACATTTGATGAGTGTAGAGGATCTACTACAGAGACATAGTATGTTAGAAGCTGACATCGCTGTTTTGGGAGAGAGAATCAAGAGCGTCAATTCGCAGGCGCAGAGATACGTCAATGGAGACGATGAACTGGGAGGTAAGTTCTACCGTCTGAGTAGTGATTGCAATGTAATCCTTGTTGCAGTTTCATGCGCTTCTAAGCGTATGAGGCATTAGCACATTTCGAATGCTATCCAAAAAGATTCACTTTTACTCGCTCATAAGTTAATACGTTTTTGTAAGTTGATATATTTGCCGCTGATGGCAAAATGAGTTGTACGGACAAAATTACAAAACGTTTTTTTGCGTTATGTGTGGTTGTGTAGAAATTAAAATTAAAGTCAGAAGATAGTTGTTTTACGAGCCACGAAGGTTAGTATATTATAAAATAGCATGACTCCAAGCTGCCAACGGCTGCTGCCACCTACAGCTCAAAACCCCAGCTGCATGACCACTGCTGATGGCAAAATGAGTTTTGCAGACAAAAATCACAAAGTTGTTTTTTTGAACTAATCACTGTATGAGTCAAGTCGGCGTTAAAACGATACCGCAATGCGCCGGCGTCTAGGACAAGTAGTGCGCGAACGTGCGCGAATTTTTGTCGGCGTTGGTTTGTGGCGTACAGTGCGGTACATGACCGCACATCGCTGTGCTTTACCTAGGTCAATATAGGCACCATAGGTGAAGCCATTTAGATTTGTGTTCATATCGTGTCGCTGTGGCATAGTACTTGCGAGTCGACTAACCGTG